AGTGGACTAAGGCACAATCACTGCTGCTCCCCTGCTATGGTTTGGAGATGGTCTGAGTGTGACCCCAGAAGGCCATGTGTCAAAAGCTTGGTACTCAGTGTGCTGAGGGGTGGTTGGACCTTTCAAAAATGGGGCTTAATGACCCAATAAAGTCATTGGGGGTGCTACCCTCGAAGGGATTAGTGGACTCTTGGGGTGAGTAACTTCCAGAGAGAGCAGGTTATTATATAAAGCCCCCGAGCCCCTTGCTTCCTGTCTCGTCATTTGACTGCTTTCTTCCTCTTGCACGTATTGCTACCGTGTTGTGATGCAGCCGGGAGGGCTCTCACCAGAGGCTGAACAGGTGAAGCTACCCACTCTTTCTCTAAATAAGCTTTTTAACTTTGTAAAGTATCCAGCCTCAGCTATCATGTTATAGCAATAGAAAACGGACCAATATGGTTCAGTGCAGCATCTACTAAGGAGACTGACACTATGTCTCTAGGAAATGAGTGACAAGGCTGCCTAGATATGTGTCGGGTTGTGACCAGCACTTGAAGTGATGGATGAAGGATTACTTGAACACAGGAATCTGTGCAAGAGGAGCTAAGGGGAACTAGCTCAAGACCAGCTCCCTGCATCAGCATGCCTCATGGCTTTTATTGAGTACAGCAAGTGGTTAAAAAATATTTTTACAAGCAATCAATCATATTGTTGGTGTCAGCAGGAAAGGCATGTAGCATAACAGATAAGAATTAGAACGAGAGGAACAGGAACTACAATTACCCTTAAGCAAAGGTTCAGAGGTCAAGGAATAGGCATGTCTTATTGAGATCAAACATTGAATGGATGTCTTCATCCATCTTGGAGGAGGTGCCTTCACTTTCATCCTCCTTTTTACGATCTCTTTAGCCATGTCTGAACCCCAACAGAAATGCAGCCTTAAAAAAAAAAATGCTGGGTTCTGGTGGCTCACACCTATAATCCTAGCTATTTGGGAAGCTGAGATCAGGAGGATCACAGCTTGAGAAAAGTTTGAGGGACCCCATCTCTAAAATAACCAGAACAAACTAGACTGAAGGTTAGGCTTAAGTGGCAGAGTGATTGCTTTGCAAGTGCTAAGCCCTGAGTTCAAACCCCAGTCCCACCAAAAGCACACAAACAAACCAAACCAAACTTTTCTTATGAGTCAGGTACAGTGGTGCAAAACTGTAATCCCAGGACTCAGCAGAAAGAAGGAAACAGGAGAATCGAAATTTCAAGGCAGAGCAAGATCCTGTCTCAAAAAACAAAACAAGCAACAATAACAAGTCTTTTTTTCCCATCCAGTTATAATTTGCTATAAGCTTTATAAACTTATAAACCTGTTTTTATCTCTGGCTGACAGAACCGATTATCAGACAAACATCTCATGATCTAGAAAACATGAGTGGATACAAACAGGGGCTGCAGATGACTGTGGGTGGCTCACACACCGGGCCAAGGGGACTTCTGGTGGCCCCTTCCTTTGGCCCTTTTGGCTTGCATTACCTCTCACTGGATGGATCATCTGTGCAGATAGGAGGTAGATAAGGAGCCAAAAGACAACTGGCCCTGCCCTGGCATCCACAGAACTTCTGGTCAAATTATTTCCCAGTGTGCTTTTATATATATCACCAAATTTCTGAAAGAGACCAACATGTCTGAGGACCTCCCCCTGTGCCCCAGGGGAACTCCAAATGGACCTCCTCCATTTGCCTCCACCTGTGGCCTCTTGCCATGCTGGTTTATGTGGGTAGACTGAAGGTTGATGTCATAACACTGGTAACAAAATAACTGACTGTATTCCTCATCTTGCATTCCTTTATGGATTGAATCAGATGAAGGAACTCACTTTACAGCAGAAATAATCCCCTTGCTTGCAAAGACTCTGGAATGCTCATTAAAATTCAAACCCATTGTGAAATTTCAGTGGAACATAAAAATTTAGATGTAAAGGCCAGGCCTGGTGGTACACCCCTGTAATTCCAGAGGCAGAGATGGGAGGATTTGTGTTTTGAGGCCAGCATGGGCAGCAACAAAAAAGTTAGTGAGGCCCTATCTCAAAAAAAAAGGGCGGGGGGGCATGGTGGTACATTTCTATAATCCCTGCTGCTCGGGAGGCAGAGGCCAAGGCCATCAATACTTCACCTTCCATGCCGGCCAAATGATAAACGTGGGCTCCTTTGTTCATAAGGTGACGCCACATAGCGTACTAGATGTGACATTATAAAATGCCACTGTGTGTCACCGTTCTACATTTTTCTCGTTATTGATATCCTTTCCCCAGTGATGGGACAGGAGTTCAATGTCACCACCCAAACAGCGAGCCTCTCAAAGCGCTCACGCTGATAGGCCAACAAGGAAGGGCTCTGCAGCCATTGGTAGAGAGCCCACTTCTATGCAAATTGCCCCAAGCCAGCAAACAGCGTCTAATCTGCATGTTTTAAAGGGCAAGATGGACACTGTCCATCAGGTAAGAAAGGCTCAGTCCCCCGACTGACTGACTGACTGACCGGCCTACGCCCAGAGATGGGAGACTGGTTTAACCATGATGGGGAAACATTTTGTTTTCTCCTATTTATTCAATATCATGCTAATATTTGCTTTTCTTTTTCTTCCTCTGCAGCTGCTTAGCTGCTTCCTCTCCCCACAGCTACCAACTCAGATTTTAATATGTGAAATTTCTAGGGAGGTTTTGGATGGGAGAAATGAGGGTGCTTTGGATGTGCCACCCAAAACATGCCACTCTGACTTTTGGGCTAAGAACACTTGAAAAACAACAGGTACAATATCACTCTGACCTTTTTCCTTAAAAGCAGCTGATGAAATTCCCTTGTGAAAGATACTGCTATGGTTTCAAAGCAGTTTGTCACCATCAAAACTCAGGCTCAAGCCAGGAATCGGTGGCTCACTCTTGTAATCCTAGCTACTCAGAAGGCAGAGATCAGGAGGATCTTGGTTCGAAGCCAGCCCAGGCAAATAGACCATAAGACCCTATTTCGAAAAAAACCCTTCACAAAAAAGAGCTGGTGGAGTGGTTCAAGGTGAAGGCCCTGAGTTCAAATCCCAGTACCACAAAACAAACAAACAAAAAAACCAACTCAGGCTCAGAAGGGCACCAGCAGCTCACGCCTATAATACTAGCTACTCAGGAGGTAGAGATCAGGAAGATAACAATTTGAGGCCAGCCTGGGTAAATACTTTGAAAGACCTTATCTCGAAGATACCCAACACAAAATAGGGCTGTTGGAGTGACTCAAGTGGTAGAGCAACTGTCTAGCAAGTGTGAAGCCCCGAGTTCAAAACCCCAGTACTTCCAAAACAAACAAACAAACAAAAACCCCCAACTCATGCTCAACTTTACCTGCCAACATAACGGAGCGAGGTAGCAGGGTCCTTAAGAAGTGTTGTGGTGGAGGTGGAAATTTCTCGAGGGACTGATGCTTCTCTTATGGGGATGACTTAGTCATCACTGGGACTCCTTTTCTGTTTAGCACACAGATTTCCTTTCTCATGGGAACTGCTTGCCCTCTTGCCATGAGGTCTTTCACAGAAGCTAAGCAGAGTCCAGTGCCATGTTTGTTCTTGGACTTTAGGACTATGAGTCAAAATAAATCTCTTCCCTTTATAAATTACCTAGTCTCAAGTGTTCTCTTACAGCAACAGAAAACAGACCAAGACAGAGGACAATGCTGTTCTTATTACCAAGGAACGAATACAACAGCTGAGGGAAATCTGTACAAACCTTCTTAATCTTTCCCACATCTTCCTAATCACTCTTTGTTATTGTTTGTTTGTTTTGCAGTACTGGGATTTGAACTCAGGGCTTCATGCTTGCTATGTGGGTTCTCTACCACTTGAGCCACTCTACCAGCCCTTTTTGTGTTGGGTATTTTGGAGATAGGGGTGGCTTTGAACCATCATCCTTTTGATCTCTGCCTCCTGAGTAGTTAGGATTACAGGCATGAGCCACCAGCTCCCAGATCCCTCATCACTTTTGGACTGGGTTAAATACCCGAGCCGAAGCCCCTTGGCCTGTCACATTTTCAGTTTCCCTAATCTCTGTCTCAGTGTACAGGTGTTCAACACCTGTGTCTTTATACCAGGTCAAATTTGCATTAAATAAATTTGAATGCTTTTTCCCCTTTCATTGGGGGGGCAGTTCTGGGTTTTGAACTCAGGGCCTCACACTTGCTAGGCAGGCACTCTACCACTTGAGCCACTCCCCGGCCCTTTTTGCTTTAGTTATTTTTTGAATAGGGTCTCTTGGAACTGTGATCCTATTTACACCTCCCTCTTAGCTAGGATGACAAATACTATGCCCAGCTTATTGCCTGGTCCGGCTTTGAACCTCAGTCATCCCAATCTCCATCTCCTGAGTAGCTGGGATTATAGACATGAGCCACTGTGCTCAGCCAGCTGATCTATCTTAATGGGATTTTCGGAACCCAAAAAAGCCCTAAAAGGATGGAGGTAAAGCATTGCCTCCCATATAGTACCTCACTGGTTCTGCTTCTCTGGAGAACACCAATACACCAGCATTGCTTGTGTGCCTAGGATGCACCAAAGTTCATGTTACCAAGCAGCCAGAACACCTTCTGAACAGGAGGGTGACCCTCCACCAGCCACTCTGGGGTCAGAACTCCTAAAAGTCCAAGGATGGGGAACCTTTGTCACGCCTGTCATCCCAGAGTCCTTTCAGCTCCCCTGGCCTAGAGCCGGTCACTCTGGCCAGCTGGGACTACAAAACACTTTGCCCCTCGCTAGACGTTGGAGTCCTCCAGGGCAGTGACTGTGACTATTTCTCTTCCTTCTTTCTTTCCTTCCTTCCTTTGTTTTTTTTCCAGTAAACAAAGACCCAGTAGAGGGCTCCAGGAAGGCACTCAGACTGAGTATTTGGGTGCTTCCCAGCCCTCTGCTCTGCCCCTTTCCCCAGCCTGACAAGTGAGTGTCCCAAAGCCTGCTCCCCAAGAAACACAATGTTCACAGCTCAGCTTCTTATCTTGGAAATTTTATTGATCCTGGGGAAAGGGAGGCAAGAAGTTCCTGATTCCCCGGAGGAACCCATAAGCCTTCACTGTTTGCCATTGGCATTGATGGGGCGGTTCACATGGTCAGGGGAGGCCAGGAAGGCTTTGACCTTGGGCCGGCCGCTGAGACGTGACACATAGGCTGAGAGCAGGGGAAAGGCATCCAGGCAGCTGGGGGCCAGGACCTTGTGGGTCAGCAGCAAATCCAGCAGGTTGTAGTCTGCAAAAGAGATCTGCAGGACAGGGGCCAGGTCTTGGTTAGTGGGAGCAGGGCAGAGGTAGGGGTGGGGGGCAGAGCCTCAGCCCACCCTTTAAGTCTGGTCCACTTTGCTATGCAAGTGGCTTCTGCCTGTTTTCATCCATAAGGAGAGGGTGCCCAGGAAGGGGCAGGACAGGTCCGGAAGCTCACCTGGTCGCCCACGATGAAGGCCTGGCCCCCCTTGTTCTGGGACAGCAGGGTCTCAAAGGGTTTCAGGTGCGTGGGCAGGGCCTTCACATAGTCATTCTTGCCCGCCTCCTGCCAGAAGGATGCCAAGGTTGTGTGCCACTCGCATGAAACTCCCTGTTCTGTCCCCAAGACAGGCCTCTTCTGCTGCCTGCCACACCCCTGCACAGGCTGGAGACAGGAGCCCTGCTGCTGCGCTCGCTCCACACCTGGGCAAGTCCTGTCCACTTCAGCTGCTAATTCTCTTCCGCTCCATTCTCCCTTTCTATCCGGCAGAGCTCTCTAACTATATTCTCTCTTCTTATTGCAAAACCCTCGTAGCTGGTCCTCTGAGGATCCTTCCAGATCTCACATTCAGGCCCCTCAGTGGTCCCCACTGCCTTCAGTGCCCCCCACTGCCTTCAGTGCCCATCTCCCTCTCTTCCTACTCCACCCCTGTGCACACAGCTGCATGCCCCTGCTCTGCCTCTGCTAAACGGATCCCAGGTCCCCAAATGTCCTCCAGACCTGCATCCTTTGCCTGTCTGAAACAACCAGCACCTCATTCCAGAAACTGGCTACAGAGCCTCCTCCTCAGGCCGCCCCAAGAAGCCTTGGTCAACTCAAGGCCACAGTGAGGACATCTCCTGTCCTTGCCCTCTTGTCACTACTGCTGTTACTTGATGGGCTTGTTCCTAGTCTAGGAGGGTGAGAGTTGTCTTGTCCAAAATGGCCCCTGACCCCAGCAACTGAGTGTGACCCAGTCCTGGCATCCTGACACAGGAAGGTCAGCCAGAGCCACACAGGGGTGGCATTGAGGGTTCATTCAGTGCCCACCGGGTGCTCACATAGTTGGTGTAGATGAGGGCGATGTATTTGCTGCGGATGTCCTCCACTCCGTCATTCACCATATCCACCAGGGCTGCCTCTCGCTGGTCCTTCCCATAGAGCCCTGGAGTTAGGGGGAGCAGAGGGCATGACTGGCACCTGATCCATACAAAGCATGTGCTGATCCACCCCAGGGCATGTGGCTGTCTCGGGTCATAAGTCCGGGAGGAGGAGAAGGAGGCTTGGACATCAGTGGGTTAGCCAAATCATGGAGGTGCTCAGAACTCATGGTGGCAGGCTGGCACAGGACAAGGGTGGCAGGTGGACCCCCAAGGCAAGTAGTGCAACCTCCTCTGTGCCCTGCTCTGTCCACTCCAGACTGGATTGAAGTGGGAGAGGCCAGAGGGCACATGGTCAGGAACGATGGCTGACGCCTTCCTCTGCTCTGAGTTGGGCCACCTGAGGATCAGGACTCACCAAAAGAGCGGCCCAGGTGCCGCAGGATTGCATTGGACTGGTACAGGGTGAGGTCGCCATCCTGGAACTTGGGGAGCTGCCCATACAGCTGGAGGGTGGCACAGCTCTGTGAGGGGCACTGAGCCTGGCTGTCTCCCACCAGCTGCAGCCCCCTCAGAGCCAGTCTCTGCCCCCACCAAGGTGCAGTCACTCACACAGGAAGCCTTGAGAGGGCTCTGATACCAAGAATCCAACATCACCACCTCCTCCTTCCAGCTTTGGTCCTGGTCAGCCAGCAACATGCGCATGGCCTCACAGCGCCCTGGTGGGGGACAGGGGAGGGGCATGGGGACAGTGCAGAGATCCAGGCTCACTGGGGAGGGGTGGGGAGTGAAGGGAAGAAACTTGGGAACAGAGACTCCTGAAGTCTGGCAGAACACGGTGGGGGGAGAAGGCTGGGCACTTAGAAGGAGGCCCAGCCTTGTAATCACAGGAAGTCAGGGACACGGATAGCCTGGGGTCCCCCCCCCAGGTGAATGAGGGGTCGTGGGCTGCAGCCCTCAGCCCTTGTCTCCCCTCTTTGGCTCCTACCTTGAACGGGGAAGTAGACAATGGTGTAGGGCGGCACTAGAGTGAACAAGAGAAGGTTGTTAGATCTTGGGAGAAGGGGACTAGGGCTGAGGGTCGCCGCTGCCCCCCAGGGTCCCGTCCCTGCTCTGGGCCTCCAGCCCTCGCCCGTCCCTCATGCCCCCAACTCCCCAGCATCCAACTCCGCACTGGGTCCCCGCCCCGGGTGCTTGGAGCGGGCTGCAGCGTGCAGGGAGCTCCGTGTCCCCCGGGGAGCCCCGGGGCCCGTCGTGCAGGGACACCTGGGGCGCCAGGCGGTGCAGACTCACTGGCTGCTGAGTAGATGGCGACGCGGTCCCACGACTGCGCAGACGGAGGCGGCGGCGGCTGAGCTCCGGCCCAGGCCTAGCGGGCGCCAGGCTATTTATAAGGGGCGTCTGCTCCGCTCCGCCCCGAACGGGGAGTCACCGTGGCGGCCCGCCACCAGCTCCGTGCGGTGATTGGCAGCGCCGGCCTCCTGTCCCGCCCACGCCCCTGCCCCCCCCCCCGCCCTGGACCCCAGACAGCAACATGGGGGGGGCAGGGTTCTGCCTGTCGGGCCTGGTGTGTCCTGGCGCCTGTGGATGGGGTGTGGGGGGCTGTCCCCAGCAGTCAGAAGGAAAGCCCTGACGAGCCTGGGGGAGTCACATCCTCTTTGCCCCCACCCCCACCCAAAGCAGTGTTTGGGAGAGAAGGCGTCACCTTTGCAAAGCGTCATTAATAGATGATATAAGTGAACCTTGGAACAGTCATTTCCTTAGTGGCCGGTCACCAATTCCCTGCAGCACCTGTGGCTGGCACGTTTGACCCAGCGACCCCACCGGGCACTTCCTCAAGCTCTTAGGGACCTCAAAGAGCTGGCACAAGGACTGTGATCCAACTGTGATCAACTGCTGAGGGAAGGATAAAAAGGCAGGGTGTGGCCCTCTGGGTCTGGCTGCCAGAGGTGGTACAAGCAGGGACAGGCAGCACCTGATGGGACAGAGGTGAGGTTGTGCTCAGGGAGGGCTGGGCTCAGCATCTCTGTCCCCCAACTCCTGTACCCACTCACCAACCTCTGGTCCTGCAGATGCCCTCCTATCTTAACACACAGCTCTCTTTTCTTTTTTTTTCTGCCAAAAAAGTTTAATCTAGTCATCTGTCCTTTGTCAAAAACAACCTGAAATTTGCCCTTCCCTATCTTCAAGGCCAGCTGCCCAATGAGCTACAAAAAGTGAAGAAAAGTAAAGAAATGATGTTACAGTTTTAGATCAAAAACCTCCGGAGTGTTTCCTTTCTGCTACTTTGTGTCCCTGCAGTCAATTTTGCCAGCTTCAGAATTGACATCCCTTTCCCAAACAATGGCTATCATACACACTGACACAATTGCCACACTCAATGTCATAAACTGACAGCTCACATTCTCTCTCTTTTTCTTTCTCTCCTCTCCCCCCTTCTCTATCTCTCTCCCCCTGTCTGTCTCTGTGTCTCTTTGTCAGTCTCTCTCTCTCTTCCCTCTGTCTATTTCTATCTCTCTGTCTGTCTTTCCCCCCCACCCTATCTGTCTGGCTCTCTGTCTTTCTCTGTCTCTAGCTTTCCCCGCCCCCTCTCTCTCTCTCTCTCACACACACACACACACACACACACACACACACACACATACACACACACACACACACACACTGATGGCATCTCAGGGCAGCCATGCGTCCTCTGGGTGGGGCTGCTGTTTGTTCTTTCCGGCTTCCTTCTGCCCTGCCCTTTCTGTCCTCTGAGTCCTGGTTAGGTTGAAGCCTGGATCAGTGCTGTTCAGGCCCAAGATGTAGGTAGCTGTGGCTGGTTCTCACCTGCCCCTCCTTTCCCCACCCCCATCCTGCCTGCCACTGCCCTAGCCTGGCTGGCTGTCCCCTTTTCCCTGCTGCCATTCTGCTCACTCCAAATGAGCCCAGCTTAGCTCTGTACTGCACTGGAATGTACATTCCTCCTCCCACCCCTTATACACGTGGGCCTTACACACGTGGTCCATATACACGTGGTCCATATACACGTGGGCCTTATACACGTGGGCCTTATACACGTGGTCCATATACACGTGGTCCTTATACACGTGGGCCTTACACACGTGGTCCATATACACGTGGGCCTTATACACGTGGGCCTTATACACGTGGGCCTTACACACGTGGTCCATATACACGTGGGCCTTATACACGTGGTCCATATACACGTGGTCCATATACACGTGGGCCTTATACACGTGGTCCATATACACGTGGGCCTTACACACGTGGTCCTTATACACGTGGGCCTTACACACGTGGTCCATATACACGTGGGCCTTACACACGTGGTCCATATACACGTGGGCCTTATACACGTGGTCCATATACACGTGGTCCTTATACACGTGGGCCTTACACACGTGGGCCTTATACACGTGGGCCTTATACACGTGGTCCATATACACGTGGGCCTTATACACATGGGCCTTAACTATTTCTATGGGTCATTGAAACGTGTCCCTGCTCCCACCTCCTGCATCGCAGTCCAGGCGCCTCTACCTGCGTGTATTCTGGAACTCAGGGCTGTGTGTATGGGGGCGGGGGGGCTGTTAATACATACCTTGTCATTATCACCACCAGTCTGCACAGGGGCCCCTCTTATTTGCAAGATTCACTTATGTGTCCCTGTCACCCTAACACTCCACTCTCACTTCCTGCCAGTGTCAGCAGGTCTGAATGAAAGGTTTGATACTTGATTTGCATAAGACAAGCCAGGTGGCCTTCCTGAAGGGCTGCACCCATCACAGCACCCACAGCACAATATCAATGATTGCCGGCGCCCCCGGCCCCTTTTCTCATTCCTCAGCGTTCAGACGTCTCTGCATGTGTTTGTTAGATTTTGCTCTCCGCTTCTGGAAGTTGCCTGTGTGTGTTGTGTCCTTGGGCTATTTTATTTGAGGTTGCTGCCTGCTTTCAGTTGATTTGCATAAATGAAGATTAATATTGCCATTTATTCTAGATATTAATCACTTATTGACTTTAGACCTTACAAACACCTTCTGTTATTCCTGTCATCTCCCTTAACTACACTCAGGATGTCTTTCATTAAGAAAGACTCCTTAATTCTAGTAATCAAGTTCGTCAGTGTTGGTGGAGTGGCTCAAGTGGTGAAGCATCTGCCTAGCAAGCAAGAGGCCCTGAGTTCAAACCCCTGGACTGAAAAAAAAAAAGTCGTCAAAGTTCCTTTAAAAAAGTTTTTGTATTTTTTTTTCAGGAAATGGAGGTTGGTACTTATGTGTTGTGCTGTTGAAACTTCATTCCAGTCTCTGATTATGGCTCAGATCTGGTGTCTTCTGTAAGTTTTCTCTTTTTCTCCTCAGAGCTACAACACTAATCCATCTAGAGGCTACCCGGACATGTGTTGTTAGGTAGAATCCAGTTTTATTTTTCTCAGGGTCTCCAACACCATAATTTGGTTTTTCAGGTGTTAAGTTCCATGCCCAGCTCTGCTTGTTGGTTCTATGTTCTCGTTCATCTGTTTGTCTGTTCTTGTGCTAGTGCCACAACTTTTTTTTTTTTTTTTATTGCTCTGGTTTTATAAGTCTGAGAGGGAAAAGCACACCCTCCAGGCTTTTTTTTTTTAATTGGGTCTCACTTTTATACCCTGGCCAGCCTAGATCGAGATCCTCCCATCTATGCTCCCTGAGTAGCTGGAATGACAGGTGTGTGCTACCATGCCTGGATTTTTATTGGTTGAGATGGAGTCTCATGAACTTTTTGCTGGGCTGACCTCAAACCGTGATCCTCACAGTCTCTGCCTCCTAGTAGCTGTGATTATAGAAGTGAGCCACTGAGCCAGGCTCCAGGCTCTTTCAAGAAAAGCTAACTGGAACTTTGGTTAAGATCACATGGCATTTAAAAACTAATGTAGAGAGCATGTATTTTTATTTAGTTTGGGTGTTTTTTTGGTAGTTCTGGGGTTTGAACTCTGGGCCTCATGCTTTCTAGGCAGGCACTCTAGCACTTGAGCCATTCTTCCAGCCCTTCTCCTATCTTTATTTTTTCCATTATGTCTTCCAGTTTTCTGTCATTCTTTCCTACCTTTGTGATTTCAATTTGTTCATTTTCAGTCATTTTTATTTTCTGGTGAATATATTTAAAGCTGTACATTTTCCTCAGAGTACTACTCAGCTATGTGATGTCACTTTAAACGTGGAGGGTTCCTGTTCATTTAATGACATCCTTCTTCCTTCCCTCGAGACATCACGCAAGGATTACCTAACGATCCATTGTTTCCTTTGTAAGTAAGGAATCTTAAAGAGACGTTGTACTTCTTAAATCAGTTATTAATTTTGTCTGACAAATCTTATCCCTTTGTTTTATGTCTACTTTTGTTATAGTATGACCACAGCACATTGTCAGTCTCATTTGTTGTCATTTTCAGAGGCTTTGTTTACGACGTAGTTCATGGCTTGTTTTTGTGACTGTTTAGGGGTACTGAAAAAGAAAATTTATTTTATTCTGGCTCTAGATAATTACTCATACCTTGACATTAGCGTTTATTCCTTTTGTATGTTTATGCTATCAATATAGAGAGGTCTAGTCATACTGCTGTTTTATTTTGCTTTATATTGTGGGAAGTTATGTTGTTAGGTGCATATGTGTTCTTTTGTGTTACTTGTATGAGTTTGTAACATCATTTATCCATCCTGAGTTTTACATTTAAATTATATTTTTTCATAAATTGAAATTCCTACCCTGGCTTTCACTGTTCTGTGTTCATTTGATATACATTTTCTACCCTTTTATTGTTAATATGTCTGCAGCATTTAAAAATCCAGGTGATGAACCAGGCATGGTGGCTCTCTCCTGGAATCTTAACTATTCAGAAGGTGCAGATTGGGAAGATCACATTTTGAGTTCAGCCTGGGCAAAAATTTCATGAGACCCTATCTCAACCAATAAAAGTAGACATGGTGGTGTATGCCTGTCGTCGCAGCTATGTGGGAGGCATAAATAAGCAGACAGCAGTCCAGGCTGGCCTGGGCATAAACTTGAGACCCTATTCAAAAAATAACTAAAAGAAAAAGGGCTGGGAGCATGGCTCAGGTGGTAGAGCACCTGCCTAGCAAGTACAAGGCCCAGAGTTCAAATCCCAGTATTTCCAAAAGAAAATAAATGAGATGACTTAAACTCAGTAAAATACACAGAGTGAACATAAGATTCATTTTAGTAAATGTGTGCACCAACAAGGGAAAACACAGAGCAAGTCAATAGCCTGGCTTTGTTTTCTCTTCATGAGTCTCTCATAAATGCAATCAAATAGTCAGTACTCTTGCGTCCAGCTAACTTCTTTCACGCAACGTGTTATCAACTTAAATCAAATTGAAGTAT